GTGCTGTACAGGTCAGGTCAGGCCGATAGGTGATAGGCCAAAAAAACAAACCAAAAAAAATACCAAAAAAAAAAAAAAAAAACACCGTTTTCACTTAGGGTTTTACTACTTTTCCTGTCAACTAGCGAAGTGACTCAATACCAGCTGGGAAATCTTGATATCAAACTATGGTTAGGTTTTTTCCTTTGAAATGTCAATAAATCTCCATTAAATTACGCTAAAAACAAAATAGGATACAAACTAGGGATGTACAGAGGTTGGACAATGACACTGAAACTCCTGTCATTTTAGTGTGGGAGGTTTCATGGCTAAACTGGACCAGTCTAGTGGCCAGTCTTCATTAATTGCACATTGCACCAGTAAGAGCAGAGTGTGAAGATTCAATAAGCAGGGTAAGAGCACAGTTTTGCTCAAAATATTGCAATGCACACAACATTATRGGTGACATAAAGAGGACAAATTGTTGGTGCATCTGTGACCAAGACGACAAGTCTTTGTGATGTATCAAGGGCCACAGTATCCAGGGTAATGTCAGCATACCACCAAGAAGGATGAACCACATCCAACAGGATTAACTGTGGACGCAAGAGGAAGCTGTCTGAAAGGGATGTTATGGTCTAAAACCAAGTGTTTCAGTTTCATTGTATAACCCCTGTATGAAATATCAGCATTAACATCATTTTTTAGAATATTGATATCGGTCTGATAAGTAAAACTGGGCCATTATTAACGTYTGATATTGATCTCCCACTTTTTATCTTTGTGTATCTGTTTGATCATGATAGTGTTAGTGACAGGAATAACTGAAGTAGGCTCGACAGCCGTGAGTGAACAAACGTCCACAGTTGGAAAAAGAAGCAGAATAAACTGTTAAGATAGAAAAGACCACCGTAATTCAGTGGTGTGAACTGTAAGGTGGTTTTGGTATTGAAGGTATGATAAACTTCAGATTTCAGTCTGCAGTAATATATCCGGTAGTCTGGTGCAGACTCACAGCAGGAACTCATCAAATCTGTTCCACCGTCTGATAAAGATCCACTCGATAGAACATTCTGAGTGTTCGAAAATGAAGCTAAAAGTTTAAGCCCTCTTTCTAAAACATCAWCATCTCCATCAGCAGCTGTGTCTCGCAAAGTGAATGAAATGCAGATAAATATGGCAAGCCGTTGTGACATTTAATYGGCTTTAAAACATTTACATTYCAGATATCTGAAATTGGTTTATGACTAGAACTAATTAATTAAAATATCTCATATTTTGACTAGGCAAAATACAATTGAGATATCTCTGATAACATCCTGACTAGTAAAAATGTCAGATTTTCCATTAAGCTGTATAGAGGCTCTTATTCAAGATATTTGCAATAAATTGCTATCTCAAACACGTTTCAGATTTCAACAATTAAATTATTACTAGACAAAGTAAATTTGAGATATCTCACGTTTTGTACTGATTAGTCATAATTCCAATTAAAGATATCTTAAATGACATCAGGTTTGTAGATGCAGTAAATATTGTTGTTCTTGGCAGTTTTACATTTTTATTTATATATTGACACCAAAATTATATCATATCGACCAAAATTAGGAGTTTTATTGTTTAAATAATAATCTGAGTGGGTGTTCTGGACTGTATTTTCATTGTGCTTTGTACAATGACAATAAAGTCTTATCTTATCTTATCTTATCTGATCTTATCTTAAACGGGCTACATTTTCATTCTAAAGTTAAATTTTTGCCATATTGTCTAGGACTGTGTATTGGCAAGAATTTGGCGATACGATACATACAGTATCATGACAGAGGGGTCACGATACGATATATCCCGATATACTGGGATACTGTAAGCAAGGCGATATGTTGTGATATATTGCGATTTTTTTGTCCAAAAATTCTATTAAATAAAAACCTCTTACCAAAAAAAAAGGAAAAAGAAAAACCAAAATTCATTGTCTCAGAAATTTTTAATATTACATAGACATACTTTTGATACATTTAGCTGTGTTCTGC